TCAATTTTTAAACGACTAGCCTCGTTCATCAGACCAAACAATGGGCAACAATACTCGAGAACGGGAAGTACAAACATACGATATAGTCTTAATTTGATTTCAGGAAGATAGAAATTGCAAGAAATAAAGCCACAAATCTGGGCAGGTTTGGCTGTAATTCTGTCAGCATGTGGCGAGAGATCAAGATTATTAGTGTAGCTTAAACCTAAATCATCGATGGCGGTACAGTCAGTCATAGGTTTGCCTTGAAAGACCACAGGTTGAGGTAGTCTCTCAGGTCCAAAACACATAACAACATTTAGATGGAGAGAATTCCATTAGCCATTTTGAGCTTCAAGCTGAGAGAGCTAGCAAGTCAGCATGGATTTGCTGAAGGCAATGACGGCTCGTAGATTTATTGAGTGAATATGCACATTTGAGATCAACAGTATAAATAAATGATTGAGAATATGTAGCCGTCGGCAAGATATCATATATGTAAAGCAGAAACAAAAGATGACCTAAAACGGTATCATGTTGAACACCACTGCAATCGGGCTCTCATTAGAGAATGGAGACCCAACTCAGACCTTTTTTTAATTAAGATTGATATGACTTGATAAAATCAATAAGGGGACTGTAAATTCTCAGATCTTCTAATTTAACTAAGAGTCTTCTCTGTGACACTTTATCGAAGACTTTACGAAGAACAAAATCAATAACGACAACAGATAAATAATCATAACGAAGAGAAGCCAGTAGATTGAGGAATGACACAGGACAGTTTCTAACAAATTAAAATCGCGCACGATTATTTTAACGTGAAATGGGGTCCCTACGACTCTTTCAAAGAGATCACAGGGGTGGTTTTTGCTTCCGGGGTAACAAGGAGGTTTCTATATCCAGCCATTTAACGCTTTATTATTTTGGGCGAGGATGACTGAGACGAGACGAATATTTCAAGAGAGGGCAGAAATTTTCAGGTCATAGGGCGATCGTATAAGTGTGGGTCTGATGCACAGAAGACAACCACCGCCACATTTTCAGCACGGTCCTGTCGGTATAGATTGATGTTATCTTAAGCGAACCTCGGGTCGGGAATTCTAGAGAAATCTCACGATTCCGTAATGCAGAAAACATCTGGATTAAATTCAAAGGCTCTAGTTCCCACCTGGGTCATATTTTGCACGACTGGTCTGGCGTTAATGGAAACTACACTGAGCAAATGTCCGTGAGGCAGTTCGCGTTCATAACTGTTTATAAAAGGGATAACTTGGCTGTGAAGGACAAAATCCAAGAGAGGATTATCAGAAGGACGGCTAATTTGTTAGGATCTTTAATTTGTGGATATGTTATCCCTATTTAAAGAGGCATTATCACACGGAAACTTATTTGTGTAAGATCCATAAGGAGGAACGCTCTTTCGGAGTGTCCAAAAACTGAAGATAAAAACAGGATTTTGAGAAGGACTGTCATAATGTGTGAAAAGACTTATAGTGAAAAGGACTAAACGGTTGTATAAACTGTTTACGACATGACTAAAATTACTTATTTGGGAGATCGGGCAAACTGTTCGATTGGGAGGACTTCTAACCACATTATTTGCATGTATCTTAGGCGCTGGTGTGTTGGCAGATTTACCAATTGTAATTTCTTTCTTAATTTGAGAATCTAGGTTGGGAACAGGCAAAAATTCTCTTGGCTCTTTCGGTTGTAACGCCATGTCAGGTTCGATTGGCCTGTCAAATGAACGCGTTGGATTTGACCAACTTTCTTGAACTAAGTTTCCATTCTGTGCCTTGGGGGTCGATCGAGACTCTCTGTGTTGCCAATTGATTTTGCTAAAATCAGGCGGGCTGGCAAAAATGTGAGCATATTTTGAGAGACTATCGCTTACTTTTGGGTTACAAAGTGAAAGATATAACTTGAATCTGGGACTATATTATCCGGCAAGGTGTTGAGTGCGACTCAAGCTGTCGGATATAGGGCTAGAACTTAGCTAACGTTAGATGAATAGCCAACCTCGTAAGCAAAATTCAAATAAGCAGAATTTTTGGGAGGCTTTTTTGTCCGCTGAGGAGTTCCGTTGGAGTTTTATTTCTCGAAAGAAACCAAAGGATAAACACCAAAACGATAAGGGGTTTAAAGCTCCTTGCCTTAAGCAATAAGCCTAAGAGGTCTAAGTCTCTTTATTTTAATTTGTAGACAAATACGCAGGGTCTCTTACAAACATCCAGCATTGTGATGGGCTTGGGTTTCAACATGGCCTTCAACAACCTTCACAATTTGAACCGAAAATCAACCTCTGAGGTCACCAATCAGAGCCACGCGTTTAACAAGAATGGACTCAAACATAATTATCTTCTGTAACGCCCCTGGACTTGGACAGAGTTGTTTGAATGTGTGAACACTTTTGGCGCGAGGACCTAGGGTGGAGATGGCGTAGTCGCGTGTCGGTGAAGATAACCGGTGTCCCTCCCTCTCTCTTCTGCCGATCCCCTTCCCCCTCGTCGTACCGTAACGTAACGTATCGTCCGTACCGCTCGCCTCCTCGCTACATCAGCACTCCCTCGGCCCTTCCCTGCAGTTGCCCCCAGCGCTGCGCTCCCCACCGGTTTACTAGCTGGCATGTTGGCATCGTCTCTCCACCCAGACAGGTCATTCCACACATGTAACCATCCTTCATGTACAATTACGATTATTATACGTTTTCCCCGTGCATTCTCGTTATATTACACTTTATCCCTTATTCGACATGCCTTCTACTTCTTCTGTTTATGGATGTGTATCAAGGAATGCTAACAGTTCCGTTCAGGTCTACCCCTGCCAAGATCTCTTCTCGGAGTTTCCTTACTCCGGTGTGTGCTACCCTTGACGTCTTCGGCCGCTACACTTCTAAAGTTTGTATAGACAACAACCTCCTCAGTATGCGCTATATTTAAGAGGTGCCCTTCTTTTGTCAAGCATTCTTCACACACTCTCTTGTGCCGCAACCACACACTTATGTCATTCACAGACTTGAAATATGTCTATGTAACTTATATTTGTGAAGAAAGTTTGTGTCCTCATTTTCCATGCGGCTTGTTTTATCGCATTGCTGTTGTGCGGTCTTTGGTTCCTCGGTTGTAATTTGTCCCGCGCTGCCCTCGAGGCTCGTTTTCCAGCTTATCGTGCCTGGCGGCAATGCCGGGAACCGTGGAGCGCATCTTCTCACGTTATAATTTCAAGGTTTGGGAGTGGTCACCAACACGATGTTTCATGGCTGTCGCTTCCCACGAAGTGCTCGGGCTAGGCCTACTGAGTGGAGTCTGGCTGGCTTGTTACCGGTACCACCCATTTGAGCGCGTCCTCCCCATACTGCCACTGTCTTTCGCGAATGCCTACGTCAGGTAAACTCAACACTGCGGCTTACCAGTTTAGAGGATTATCGTGGTCTGCTCGCCGAACTCGGAAGTTACCCACGGCCCTTGTTACACGGGTGAATCCAGAAAGGCTCCTTGTGAGCGGTGCTGAAAGCTATGTTATAAGGAAATGTATAGCCCCCGTCACCATCCCCTTGAAAATTTATATGGCGGTTTGTATTTCTGCTTTTTTCGAATAGACCTCGCCTTGAAATATTTCTATCAGACCTCAAAGAGAGCCGTGTTCGCCCTCCCGCTATGCCAATTTCTCTGCCATACGTAATCCTGCCTCTCGGGCCGACTAACTTAGCGTTCTTTGCCACAAATGTTACATTCCCCTCAAGTAAGTTTATGGGTGTTCTTGCAAACTGAGGGTCGAACGGGGGCAGGCGGATATAGGAACTCCGACACCCCACATCCAATATCGCAACCCAGATGGCGAGGCTAGACAGCGCTTCTTAAGTGTCCCATGCTCAGGAACTCTATTGGTATATTAACGAAGGACAGAACTTTATCCATAGCCACACAGGCGCGCCCAACTTGCTATATATTTATACTTGCAGACGCGGTCTAGCTTGATTATCTGGTCAATCCTCAACAGGTGACGGAATTCTATCGTCGACTCACCTTTTAAAATTAATGGCTACATGATTGTTGCGAGTATTCGTGGTCCCATCCCGAAACTTGAAGAGCCTGCCCCTCCTCAATCTTCGGGAGAACTAATCGTGGTGAGTCACCCAGCGGTCACCCGGAGAATGTTGTCGGCCCACTAGCTGAACGTAAACCGATAGCCAGCGGGTCACTCATCTCAGCGATCCCGCCGTTTTTGACGTGGAACCATTCCTGCACGCGGACGTAATTTAAGTGAAAGTAGCCGTAGTTAAAGGTGAGCTAGGACGTGCGCCATTACCTTTCCAGTCGTCCAAAAACACGAGGGTCATGTGAAGTGGCTTGGGTGGTTTTCCACAGTCCCCGAATTCGACGCTGGACTTCGACCGCTCCTTTAGCACACAAGCTTATGGCTTCAAGGATATACCGGACGGCGGGATCGCTCTATTGTATACCAAGCAACATTTTGCATGTGATAGCGTTGTGGCTTGTGGCCTTTACATGGGCGACTAGTTTGCCAGATCTGTGCACAGGCACGCCCGATGGCGTGTCTCGCGACTGCCCAGGCTGAGAGCTGGCTTGTTCAACAGCTAGCTTTCACTAAAAGTAGTCTACCTATCCGTTACATTTTGACACGTCAGATAGCCTATGTAGCTATGATACCTGGAAGGTCCAGTCTTCTTGGGATGCTTGTCACGGTAACGATAATAACCCCGACGTACGTGGCCAATGACAAGCGTTCTGTCCGGTGTCGCTTTAGACCTATTAGGCGTGTTCAGTCACAGAATCCATAAGTCGACGTCACGTTGGACACACCCATCAGGCGGCATTCGCCGAGGCTCTGTGATTGACGGGAGCCCTGAAGCACAGCGCCTGCCAACGACAAAATCACATTTAAAGAGCTTTATAAAAATTCAGAACATTAGGATCTGCATAGAAAAACACAGGTAGTAATGTACATAAATGCGGCAGGAAAGACGGTTTTTGGATAGATGGGGAAGGATTAGTTTGCTACGGCCCTTTATCAGGACTTCGGAAAAACCTGTCCAGGGTGAGGTTGGGGAGAGGCTTGACACTCGGTCGTCCCCTTTTTCCTCGTCCACCCCGAGTCCCATGAGATGGAGGCGGCGTCCTTTTGGGAGGCGGGGCGGTCCTGGCTGCAGTAGCCTGCTCTTCTCTGTTCCACTCCTGCTGCAGGCGGCGAGCGAAGTGAAAATCTGTGTGCTCGGGCATCATGTGGATGAGGACGCGCGTCCCACACTCTTCGCAGATAATTGTATTTTCGAAATCAACGCGGGGAAAAGGGATGTCGGTCTCGCCCGAGATGGATGCGGCATCTCCACCGACCACGCTTTCTCCATCTTTCGGGCGAGTTCCGCTTGCCTGTGCTTTGCTTCGCACTCCGGAACCCTCCCCACCGTCCACAAATCGACTAAAGAAAGAACGGTCTCCCCCGGACGACTGCTCAGGTTTATTGGCGAAGGATGTAGAACCAGCCAAACCCGTATCCTTTGTCTCCGAGGTGCTAGTTGTTTCACTTGTATTTATGAAACGCCGAAAGAATGACTCAGTTTTATGGCTATTTGAACCAGCGGTCGGAGGTGATGACGTAGGTTTTTCATTCGCCAACCCAGGTACCGTGTGGACCGTCGGCTTTTCGTCCGAGCAGCTTGTGGGAACTTGTATGAACTGGCGAAAGAAAGAAACTGTCTTCGTGGATGGTGCGATTTCACTATCCTCCCGTGTGTCCGGGTCCCCTCCTCGAGTAGCCTGCGTGTGATGTTTGTTTGTCTGTGTTAACAGTAGTTCCTGAACGTCTCTGCAATTTTGCGCGCTATCAGGGCGGAATTTTCCGGCAGTTAATCCCAGACCCACTATCGGCCGGTCACTTTAGAAGATAAAAAGGCAATAAAAGATTACTGCTGGAGGTTATTGTTGAAATACTAAAGGCAGATAAACCACGAATCCAGATTAAAAGTACAGAAATGATTAACGGCTCAGCTTAGTTTACTGTTCCGACTGGTCATTTAAAACTTCCCGAAACTTCTGGAACAGAGCGCACAAACGGATGGTCGTAAGTGTACCTTAGGCGGATTATCCGTGGATAAGCCAAAGTAGTTTATCTGGTAAAATGCGGATCGCGTGCTCCCGAAAGTGGCATGCAAATTTTACCGGCTGAATGTGCACCGCAAGGACGGTGCGGGTTACAATTAACTTTTCTTCCCACTCCACAAGAGTTGAGGACGTAAAAAGAAGGAGTACAAGAATACATCCAGCACCCTTGTGGATGCCGATAGTATCGTCCATGACGGCCAGCGACTTCTGCTTAGGGGATAGTGGCCAATAACCCAATGGAAGCTCGCATTCGCGGATACGTAGTTGCGGAGAGAATGGACAGGAAAAATATATGGGCAGGAAACCAACTGCCACAAAAGGTTTACTAACCAGATCTGGTCGTCACTGCGACATAGTACATTCTGCACAGCAGCAAGGGCTAAGTTCGCAATTTTCTCAGCGGAATCTGCCTGGCTGGTTTCTTCTTCTTCCGCCTGTTTTGTGCTTGGTTTTATGCCTGTCAAGACCAGCGGCATTAAGGCTCTCGAGAAGGCAGGAGGCAAGGCAACCCCGGTCTGTAATGGTCCCTTCTCACGTCCGCAGTACACGTGCACCGTTAAGCTAGTTGGCAACCGGCCATGCTCACCCCTGTCCACTGCGACGCGCTCGACAAGCTCGCCGGCCAGAGAGACCAACCACCTTTGCACATCCGGAGTCTGGGTCAGGGCTGACTTCCCAGCGAAATTCTTGCTACAGGCAATTGACTGTACGAGGGTTCGCACGCTCACCGGTTGTCGATCGACTCCACGGCAGAGATCGTAAAGCCAGGACCTGGCCGATCGACAAAAGGCGGAAGCGGGTCAAGGTAACCAACAGCGAGTGGAGATCAGGAAAGCAAAATATAAATAAAGTGCAGTCTGTTCGTCAGCAGTCATCCCGAGATACAAGAGGAAATTCTGAACAGGAGGTACTTGCCAGTACCAGAGAGCAAAGTCTACAGACCATGCGCTCAGATCAAAAAGGTAGCACGAAAGTTGCTAGGAGCCTATGTTCACTGCATGCCCTGGCTTCTCAAGTTCAAGGTAGTAAGGACCATGGGAAACCACCTCGGCACTCAATCGAGAAAGGTGATACCTATCCACTAAGAGGATGGACGGAAACGTTAAGCGAAACTGTTCGGTTACTGGCAGCAACTGATCTGGGAAGTCTGGAATCAGTGAAGGAGCAGTGTTTGAGGTTGTAGAATCTCTTGGAAGTTCAGATAGCCACTTCGAAACGCACCCTAATATTTCAATGTTTCGTCAATAGTGTACAAGACTTCACAAGCACGTCTACAACGCGCAGTTGCTTCGCAACTTGCAACAGAAGGACTGCCATTGGTGAGTAAATAAAAGCAGTTGTGAAGCCCTATGGATTTGCTGACGTGTTGACTTCCGTTGAAACGGCATTCCATGTCTGTGACAAAGTCAGTCGCCACATATGTGCCGCAGGATGGAGCACCCTACTTCTATACCGTGGATGTGCAACACTTAAAGTGGAGGTGAACCAGTTACCTGGGTGACGCGTTCATTTGATATATTTTAACCGGACTCTCCTGAGAGATGATGTCAAAATAACAGGACCGCATTCCTTGATTAAACTTAAGGCCCGGACAAAAGCAATTAAATGGACCGGTCATGGAATGTAGTCAGTGTCCGGGAAGCAGATTTAAATGGGCCAGCGGTGACGGCGGTCAGTTTGAAATAGGATAACCAAAAGATGCATATAGAATAAAACTGCGAGTTAGACTTCTAAACGGCTTTTACTAAATGACTATATCATTTGTACTACGCAAGGCATTTGAGTGTAAAACTGCTACACGGTTTTACAAACAGCCGTTACCTTGCCTTACAAGACGGGGAGTTCTAGGTTATGGACTTGACGTGAAACGTGCAAACATCTGAAGGTTGGCTGCAGGCGGCGGAATTAAGTACAGGCACGGCTGAGCGAGCACATACCCAGTCTTCTCGCCATACTCCTCGACCAGAACGTCACGCGGAAGTTCACTCATAACCCCGAAGAATTTCAAGCCGAAGCGTTTGGAAACATCGTCTCCTAACTTTCCCCCAAGACTGGGCCTGAGAAAGAAAGTATCACAAAAATCTGAAAAGTTTTTCTAAATACAGTGACTCTTACTGCTGATGAGCATATCCAATGAAGTTAGAGGGACACAAATATTTTGAGATCCTTTTGTCCGTGTGCAATGTTGCCAACTACCGACCAACCCTGGGTCCTCTGTTATGCGGATTTCGACTACTGGGAAATATCTGGTGTCCGCGGCCGTTTAAATGCATAGCCTGACCCCTGAGACATTCTGCGAATTAAGTGTTTGTGCCTTCACTTTGGTAGCGGCATTAAGTGCAACATAAAGCCGATCACCTCCCTAACTGGCGAATCGGGACCGTTTGCAGGATGAAGCAGTGATTTTTCGATGCGACATCCGTAGTGAGGTATGAAGGAGCTCTGGTGATAGAATAGGCCCCAGCGCAGACAATTTCGTCGGATTATGCTTACTGGTACGCTTAGCGTGGAATAACTAGCTGAAGTCTCACACCCAAATGAGCTGCTCAGCGCGTGTGGAGCCGAACACTTAAGGCTGAAAAACACCGTACGCACAAGATGTGTCGACAAAAATGCTTCTTTTGCATGTCACGATGTCTTTTTTGCTGAAAACGGTTACGGAAGAAGGAGAATCACTCTGAAGAACCATGGGACCATGGCTGGCTATTCAGACAGCATGGACGTAGACGGCGTCTCGGTGGGGCTCAAAGACGGCAGTAACTGTGAAATCTCTCTCATAATACGAAGCAACCTGCTTTATCTCGCGAAGTTTCTCTCGCTCCTCAATTTGAAAGTCGGATATATTACGGGTACTAGAATGCTGGGCTTCAGAAGTCGATATCGGACACTCTACTACTGATAGCCAACAAATCAGAGCCCCGCGAGAGGATTAGGAATTTAGGTCATCATATTTGGGCCACAAGTGACGCTTCGTGAAAGTCTCAGTAGCTATAGTACAGGTCTTACGCGATCGTCAAGTTTCCACCCTTGCCTCTAAGTTACCCGGAAAGACGAGGCTTGCACAAAGTGAGGAACTGTCGGTTTCAAGTCATCATTAAACCAAATGACTAGTGAGTATAAACTTACACCTTTTTTATAGGGGTGAAATTCAGGAGGTGTTGGGCAGATTCCGAGGGTACAACGGTGATTTTATTTGGCTTATTCAACGAGCATGCAATTTTCGCAAGCATCTGCAAAGGACAGGTGAGTAAAGCTGTGAGATTACTTACAAAAACTTCAGCGGTATTGTGGCTTCAAACAGCCCTCTCAAATAACAGGCATCAAGTCGACCGTTTATTTCGCCTTTGCGACAGCGTATTTGCACAATACTTGACAAATTTCTACAAACTTTGCAATAATTATGATTCAGACTCATGTCCTACAATGTGCAACTAGTGCAGTGGGCAGACGTTTAGAAATTCCTCAAGTGTCTAATAATTAAGTGATGAACCATACGTGTTGGCTTGCTTCTAAGTTGTAAAGGATTTTTGTACAGTTGCGACTGCAGATAAGTCCAGGCAAAATTAAACAGAGTGCCAATTTCGGTTAAAATGATCCTTTGGGTACTGCAAATGTTTACAGTTACAGAAAGTCGCTTTAGGCGATGGAACACACTGCGTTTGGCAAAAGAATGCAACTCCAATTTTCGAGCTAAAACACGAGAAAAAGATAGAAGCGGACGCACACCATTTGCTAATTGCGTCGGACCCAGGACTAAAAAAAGTAGGAATACACTGCAGGATGGATTTCAAAGAGGCGAGCAAGTTTGAAGAGTATTTAAGGCCCACCTTTTTCAAAGAAGATCAGGAGACTTGTCCGCAGCACTTATTAAACTCACCCTGTTTGCAGCCACACCAATCGAACACCGGTACGAGGTGTCCCTCAAAATTGCATCTTTAATCGTCTGGGCCAGTTCGAGAGCGGCTTTTAGCTTGGCTCCATCAGTAAAGCGATTTAAAATGTCCATTCGTTCTGGTAATAAGCCTAAACAAGGGGCGTGTGGAGGATCTCCTCTCTCCAGTAGTTCCGTCAAATCACTAAAATGCGTAGGGTCGACAACCAAGTGACAGCGGTCCAGGGCAACATCGGTATGCAGAGCATCAATGTTCGCTTTGTTTAAGAGGTCTGTAATATGAAAACTTGGTTACTGGTCGGAAATACTCAATAAGAATACCAGTGACGTCAATGTAGGCTTCGTCAATGCTCGCGCGCTCAATCTGGCCTGTAAACCCGGAGATGGACTTGATGACTTGGGCTCCAGCAGTCCTGTACTTAGTCAAGTCGGCTTTGCCACGGCGGGACGGCACTCGAAATAGAATAAGGTCCGGGAACTGTTTCTGAGCTAGATCGCCCCTCATATTCCGAGTCACTCCAAGGGCACGTGCTTCATAACTCACAGCAATAAGACTGGCAGGAGAATGATAAAAAGAAATAATATAACCCTACGAAGCAGCCGTGGAACTGTACTGTACGACAGCGCATGGCTTCCCAATGGTATCCGGCTGCTCTTTTTGCTCTACCTGGACGTAGAAGCAGTCCATGTCAATTAGAAAGACTATTCGATCCATTGGGCTAGTGCAACAAAGCAACGGTAGGGTAGGTAAACAAAGTCTGTCGAAGGATACTCACACTTGCAGTAAAAATCTCTTGAAACTAACGAGATTATATTATTTTTAAATAGGTGAATAAGAAAACATACGAAGCTGGAATGTTAGGGGTGCCGGGAGCTATTCCGCAGACATAATTACATTTAGCGGCGCTTCAATAGATTACATAAACCCCACAATTAGTCTGTGGTGAAGACAAATCAATCCGGAGACAAAACACCGAGATATCCTTTTTCATTGCCGATAAGATCCTTCAGCGTGAAAAACGACAGAGTTCTTTTTAAAACTCTGGAACGAAGTGCTTGTGTGCGAAGTTGTCAAAAGACGGAAAAGATCGCGCTCAAAATTGAAAACAAGACCGCTAACAATCAGAACACAGAAGAGAGTTGTGATTTATAACAAGGATTGCGGATGACGTTTGATTAGTCGTAGAATAGGTGGCGGAAATTCGGTGTGGGATAAAATTGGGCAGATCCGATAGATCAGAAACGCGGCGATCCATTTCCTAAACTCTGATGTCATGTGTGGGTTATGAATGCCACGCGGTGGAGTACACTGGAGAGGCAGTCGGTGCAATACATGGCACAACGTTTGGAATGATTACTTGGTGGGATGGTGAAACCGTCTTGTGGCGAAACAATTTTATCTAACATTTTGAAGCTTTCAGGCATTATTTCGGTGTTATGAGAAATTACATTTTAAGTGGGCTTCTCATCCATTCGCTGCACGAAGTTAATCTTCCTGCTCTTACTTACTTGTTTTACCCCGGCAGCATGACGATGATAGTACTTTGGAGTTTTTTCCTTAATCCTAATTCCCACGTCTTGACGAAAATGTGCTAAATCTCTCCAAATTACTAACCAGTAGCCTGGGTGAGCAAAGTTTCCAGCTCCAACTCACGAGGTTTTTAATCATTTATGATGATAGACACATCAACATTTGTTATTACTACATTTTTCGCTAGTTGTCTGCTAGTAGTGTTTTATCTCTCGACCATTATCCCTTGGAAGGCGCTTGGCAATTGGAGTACAGAAAGGTAAAATATTATTATAATTCGAAGATTCACAGCGACATCGGCTTGCCGAATAATTTTGTCGAATAAGGTTGTGTGTGGAGAAGTTTCTAGGTAGAACTCTGGGGGACTTGCCGGAGGGGTAATACTCACGTCCACAACGAGCACGTACTATGAGGTCCTTTCAGATACCTGAACAGAATCTTCCAGTACGGAAACACAGGTCGTGTCCGGCCTAACATATCCATGTCGACTGCCGACGTTGGTCAAATAATATAAAGCATGCTTGGTTGGTCATCGATATGCGTCGGAAAAAACAAGAACCATACAGCTTATCTCTGTGAAAGATCTCTGTACGCAGGCCGACGGATCCTCAGAATGCCCAGAATGAAAGGTCATGTCTGGCAGTTTAACTCCGCCCGTTTATAAGCCTTCTGCTTGTGAGTAAACACTAATTTGTTTAGTAAGAAATGTAAATTAATGCTCTTACTTAATTCGACTTTCAGAGTAAGGTGGATTGATTTTGCAAAATAGCTTGTAGGACTTATGACCCACGGTAAACAGTAAAGCGTACCCGACATAAGTCCATATAGGAAAACTCGAGGGCGGAAACGACAAAAACTTTTTACCTTACACTTAAGGTGTCGTTTATTCTGAAATCCGTCTACGCCTCCATATTAGGACAACCCCACCAACACCCGCACTACCAGAATCTCCAATGAAGACAATCCTGCCATTCGGCTAACCATCAACACAATCGCCACATCCATGACCACTATCTGTGGCAGCCGCTTTGTGTCACTGTCATTTGTTCGCATCGCGCTCCCGGTCGATTTGTTGCCTGGACAACGCGAGGTTTTTACTAGCTTCGTTCGGGCTAGAAGCCAATCGACGCGGATTCTTTGCCGATTGGTTACAGGTGGACGACACATATAGACTGGACAGAGGCACACACAACAAACCAGCAAGAGACAGCTTGTGGCGACTTCTTGAAGAGCCCATTCTTCGCACATTCCCTCAGTAATAGGTTTTCCAACCCAGTGAGTCTTCCCTGACTCATGATTTGGGAAATCTATGTCTTGTGTGGGATTGGAAATTTTCCTACCAGCTTGTTGTAACTATATGTCCACTCACTTCCAACCTGTTCCCATTCTGACCGCACTTTTAAATCACGTCAGTCACAGACCCCACAAGGCAGTGATTGCAGTCCCGAAAAGCACCTGTTACGGCCGTATGCGCTTCCATGGTAATCTTCATTTGAACAACTTGGTCTAGATGCCAATACAACATCTCGTCCTACCGACGCACACACCCTACGCTACAAAGGAACTTCCCCTACAGCACGAAATAGACGACACCCATGCGTACGACACTGTGCTTTATTCCTGGAAAGCATTCAATCACCTCTATGACAGCCTGTGTGACAGGTAAAGCATCGCAAGCACACATCACTATAATGGGAAACTTGTCTCTCGGTGTAGACCGATACATAAAACGAAACTTGATTTTTTGTGTAGCACACTTTGACCGGCTGCTCAGTCTTGCCAGTCATGACACCCCGGACAATGAAGTATCCATCCAGGATGGACCTCTCACTATAGTGAATTTTACGCACACTAGCCTATCAATACGACATGACTTGGACGGACGGATCGGTTCTTCTCAGGCGGTCATGACTCCTTCCTGTCGTCGTCTTTATGACATTTCTACCTACATGGAATCCAAACTTTTTTCTTGTGACCTGCTGCATGTGGAGAGCGGACTGTTGCACATAAAGATGGACTGCTTGGTTTCGTCAGCCACCGTTTCCGCGCTTAACTTTGGTCGTCTTAATTTTGTCTAGCCATCAGAGCAAGGTGGACGAGGGAGGAGAGGAGGCGGTAAATGCACTGAAATTCTATAACACTACAGATATCCTCATGCTCATGTCACTGTTGATCGGCCGACCTGATACGTCAGCAGAAGTCGTCGCTCGTACCGTTCACACTACCTTGTGTGCTAAATTGCCCATGGGGTTGTTGGTGTGTTCTGTGCTGCATTCGTCGAGGGGAGATGTCAAGACAGTCGGTGACTGACTTGTTTTCTCAACAAGATGAACTCACCGAACGTCGATCTTGATCGTTCCATAACGTACTTCACGTACTCTGTCGACGAAGAAGAGTACGGTAGATCCAAATTAGGTGTTGCTCAATGTTAATCAATTTTATCGAGAAACCATGGCGTTTATCGCAGTCACTTGGAATATGGAAACCTGAAGGCGAATCTATATGACCGAAACTGTGGTCTGGAGTTCTACGAGAAGCACCTCTATCATGAATGCGTTTATCTCAGCGGTCATAATTGTGACCATACACTTAGGCATCCAATCAAATGAAGGCGAGTTGAGAGGGAGATGCGATGGCTGAAACGAGTTTTTCGTCTGACGCTTCGAATTCACGCTCGTATCCGCAACCATATAACGGCAATGAACGCACAAGGGATGCAGCGTTTGCAGAATGTAGTTTCAAAGCAATCACACACTGGCCTGCCCCTCATCCATCGCAGGCTGATTTAGTTCTTGTTCAAGCGGTCGCGTTTCCTTCTAACGGACTGTTCCCTGGTGTCACGGCTCCGCCTGGTGCTCAGAAATCACACGAAGCGTATGCGCACTCGACTGCTGCCCCCAACGCAAACACGGCAGACAGATGTATTAACAACCTGCAAGTCCTTGTCACAGAAAAGCTGCGTGTATTTACAGCACCCCGTCCAGGTTGAATAATATTCTGTCCAATCCGCTTCAAGGGAAAGTTCTGGAAGGGCCGAGCAGCTCCTCGCAGACATGAACCAATCAGATCTGCAGGAAGCTGTCAAGCGCACTTCCATGACATGCAGCGGGGAGAACGCGCGCACATACTTTTCGCCGAGAATGACTCTTCATGGGAATGTGGACATTGCCAACACCTGGATCTCGCCATCTTGCTCGTATCGTCTACGAGGAACCCAATAGTCTGATTCTCTTGTTAAGGACTCCTTCATTCTGCGGTCTCAGGGATATTTATGCTTAGTAGCACTCCCTCAAAATAGGCATTGCCAGTAGTCTATTTCTCACCAAACGCGTAACTTACCCCAGGTCGGTCATGGTAGTTATATTAGTGTCTACTTTTCTGACTTAGCATGCGCGCGGCGACACAAAGTCCAACTTTCGCGGAAAATGATGTCATCGGGCAGAGCCGGCAATGAGGTAAGCGGCCATCTAGGAGCTACAACTAGCTAATGCAACTTAGACAGGCAATGCAGCAATAACAATACACTTTATTAATACTCTTAGGGCTCAGTAATGCTGCAGGTTTCGTTTACAGCCAAGTCAAAATTAAAAGAACATAACGAGCAGAAAACCGCAGACGGCGGGGGAGGGCGGTGGGGACGAATGTACACAAGGCTTGGGAGACGGAGGGGGGGGGCAGGAGCCTAGGTGATTGGAAGTGACGGCGGTGGGGGGCGGGGCGGAGATAGGGTCTGGCAAATGCTCACACCACAGGGGCTGGGACACGGCCCAAAAGTCAGGTGGCTAAATAGGTTGGCGGGGAGATAAAACGCAGTAGGCAGGGCGCAGAACAGGGATCCACCGGATGAGGGAGCGGGGGGAGACTATAATAGAATTAGAATGAACAGGCTGAAGACATGCGCTGAAGGGTGGCAGCTGCAGGGCTCAAGACGTCCAGGGGGTTAATTTGGAATTGGTCGGCGTTTTTGCGTCGCCATGGGCATCCTCACGGAGAGGCGATGGGAGTTCCCTGGAGATTTCCGTGGAGAGCTGCGTAGAATTGAAAGGGTAAGTTAAAATGAGTAGTCATGTGTTTGCGTGTGGCACGTGAGCGCGCAGTTCGTTCACACAAAAATGCACATTTTAATCGCAAATGAACGTCTTTAGCTGTTAGTTGATTGATCAGCATAGATCACAGCACCTCTC